TGACCAAAATCCAATGTCCTATATGTATTGTACACGTTGATCTTAGTGTCAGGGATGAGCAAACCTTTCTTAATGCTGGCACACTTTGTACATATAGACTTCTTAACGACACACAAACCTCCATTTACTCACATGTACACGTATACACTTGATTAAAACAATTTTTATAATGTTGCGAAAAACAAGTATGGATGCATGTTTTTGATATAGCTATACACGTATACACACAAGAACGCACACACAAGGGCTTTTAAAGTGCAACATTTGACATCTGCAAAGAGGTTCAAAGTAGACTGGATTTCCTGCCAGAGCTAAGCTATGTTTACATTTGCTATAGTGTTCTGAAGCCTTCCAATTATGTACTGTCTTGCACTTCCTCACACACGTTAACGTTCGTCTGATTTGTGTGACCGCACCACACGAACTGATATTCACACGGACGTGCTGACCGATGAGTTTCTCTGTGCACTTCTGACAGCCTATTGAGCGTTGCAGACAATCGTGCTTTCCGCCCTCTCTGAAGGCAGACATGCTCACTTTTCATAGGCTGAACCCACCTGCGTTGGGTCAGAGCAAAGGTTTATTTAGGTCTTTTGAGACTTTTTCTTTTTCTGCAATGAGATTTAAATCATTTTTGCATTTATTTTGCTTGGTTCAGTTGTAACTTCATTTGATATACTCTGGTCTGAGGTGTTTAACCCCTCTACTTTAGCATCTACCTTTTTAATGCCCATCACAAACGGGCCGTCTGGTTGAGCATTTAGCATCGATTGTCATTTCATGTCACGGACAAACTTATCAAATCTGTAGCCTAATACTTATAAGTGCCCAGTTTGTTTTGCATTCAAGTCATAAGCCACAGACACTGTAGTGCATGATTGAAGATGATCACACTTGTAATCAGAGGGAATGAATGTGTCATTTTTCCTCAATCTAGCAATTACATCAATGAATAAGGTTCTCATATCACTAGATAGATCACTATTCTATATGATCTTATGCAATGTTAAACGTGCAAACTAAGTATGAGGTTAAGGGGATATATCTATATGGTCTTGCATAGGGTAAACCAATAAATATGTTGTCATTCATACATGTGTGTAGCTTGTTTTTATTTCCAGGTGTGTTTACCCTGATCTGTGTTCATTAGTAATCATACAAATCCTATTTTTTGATGAATAGCGACCTCTTGTGTCAGGACCTCAAAACACCTTTCAGTGGCTTTAGTTGCCTTGAAACATGCCTGTTTATTTTGTAGAGCTTTTTGTTTTTTAACAAGGGAAGATAAAACAGTTAAAAAGTGTTTATTACAAAAGAATCTCACTCGGTTTGATCTAAACTCTTTAGTAAATGCTATTTCATTTGTCCATCGTTTGAGTTAACGGTGCCTATGTGCCTTCAACGGTTTACGGTCTTTAATCGAGACAAAGATGTTATACAAGAGAAGATGTAAACCCGCCGTGTTTGTTAGAATGGGACATCTCTTGTTTGACATTCATGATGTATGAAAAATGAGTAATACGTTGTATTTATAACAACTATGAACAGATGGCAGCCAGCAGATATTCATGGTAATAATCATAATACGTCCCTCGCGTATTTTAAAAGTTAGACCGTAAGCCTGCTTTATTTTATATAGAATAAATAGAGTAATAGAGTACGTTAGACAGCGTCACAGCGCATGCGCGATGAGCAACAGCCGCAAGATGATCATCACTTACAACTCTTCAATTCTTAAGATTTCACTCCTGGTTGGTTTAATTTCTATCTGAGTAAAAGCAGTGGAATTGACCCTATAGTTTAGCAGTATGGAGTCTATGGCTCCGTCCTAAATTCCGTACGAACATACTATGTTTCAGAATTGTGTGCATAGTTCCCTTTTTTGTGTATACAATGGAGAAAAACTCAATCCAGATTTCTTCCGGGAATGTCGCCCAGTAATACTGCAGTTTTAATTTTCAGCAGACGTTATGGTGTTCGAATAAAATGTAAACTATTACGGCTAAATCATAAATCGTTAACAGATATTATTAACCCGAATTGCTCACTGCAATATAGAACATTTGTCCTGATCCACCGCGGGGTATTTAAGCAAAGCCGGAAGTAAACGACGGATGACTTTTTCGTTTCGCTGTGTCTCTCTTGAGTCAGAGCTGTTGGTTTTTCAGGAGGGAAACTTTACAAGGTTTAACGGGATTTGAGCACGATTAATTCATTTCGCCCAATTACCAGAGCCAGTGCAGCCATACTGAAAGGTAAGCGCGCACCTTAATTACGTAACATGTTAATTTAGTCGTGTATTATGATATTTTACCCGCTTCAGTTTGCGCCATTTTCGCTAGTTTTGTAATGCACAAATGTGCGCCTTTTAGCTCTGGCGTTCTTTGTCCCTATTTTTTAATGGGTTGTGATATGGTCTATCCCTGTAGAATAAGTCACATCACTTATTGCTAACCCAGATTATGTATGTATAAACGTTGGAAGAAAGACATTTATCACTTTTCTGTCATCCAAAATTGTGTTGAAATCAAGTGCAATTGCGCATTTTTGTGCTGCACCAGGCCGTGTCAAGACGCTAACAGCACCAGCGCCTGTTAGGATACAGCATGAATCTTGCGCACATGAGTTAGCTCGTCAAGCTAACCGGCTAGCTTGCTAATCAAATAGCATTAATGGTCAGGTTGTTGACACTTGTGTTGACAGCAAGTTTACAGTAAAGCTCAGCGAACAGTTAATAAATGTAACGTTGGTGGTTTAATGTCCTGGACCTTAAGTTTAACACCAGACTAAACAGAAGGAGCAGGAGAACCGTGTTTTGTGGACATGTAACGTTATCACCAGCGGCTAACTTAGCTAGCCACCTTAGCGTAGCAGACATGTTCAAACGATACTTTAAAACCCATTACTTTAAGGAGATGAAAACTGTTCAACACTGCGTCCTAACATTATATAGAGTATAACTCTACTCGTATAAAGTTGGTTAATGCTGCATGGACAGTTTGTAGTTGTTGCTGGTGCCGTTCTGTTGCTTTGCCTCGTTTTCATTATCACCAAAGCATCCAATTGAAGGTCCTAATTAGAGCTCCTAATTAGCTTTGAAGCGGACTGGCTACAGCGTGGTGTATAGACACCTTTATGTAATGGTACAGTTTGTGTGACTGTCCTCACACTGTCTTTCACACTGACCAATGATGGGTTGAGTGCCATAATTGAATCTGTCATTTACTGAATAAAACAACCTTTTTAGTAAGGAGGAGCTAATTAATTACTTGGATGAACGAGGATGTGTGTGGTAAGTCCTGGTAACTACATGATCTAATGGCAGGTTTTCAATTTATAATACTGCAATGTTTCTTGTACAATTGATCACTTCACAGCAGGTGGGAACTTACATTCTACTGTTAGCAATTGTATACACACTAACACACCAAAGCCTTTTGTTAGAAAAGCTTGCCACAAACCAAATGTTTTTTGCTTTATTAATTTGTTTGTTTTTCTGGTCCAAAAGATGTTTTAAAAGTGTAAATAAGCACTAAATCCTTACATCCTCCTTTGCTTTTATGCTTTAGGAATGACTAGACTTAATTGACAAATCATGTTGATTCTAAAAACTATGTACGGTGACATGTTTACAAGGCAATGACCTTCGCAAAGTTTAGGAATGGTAAATCCCCGGTGCCAAGTTGGACCTGGTTAGGAATGGTTTCTTACAATTGACTTGACATTGTCTTTCATTACAGGAGTCCACGAATCATGTCAGGCATTGCATTGAGCCGGCTTGCACAGGAGCGCAAGGCATGGCGGAAGGACCATCCTTTTGTAAGTAGTGCCTCATGAAATGCACCTGTTCTGGCTCCACTGTGTATCTGAGTTGACGTTCGATTAAGTCAGTCCTCTGGTGAACACTGGTATCTTAACCGTTTGCTCTATCCTGTTCAATCTTTCAGGGATTTGTTGCTGTACCCACAAAAAATCCAGATGGAACCATGAATCTCATGAATTGGGAATGTGCTATTCCTGGAAAGAAAGGGGTAATGTGCTTTATAGTCTGTCTGCATTCATAACATATTTGCTTTACGTAGCAACGACTGCTAAATGAGAAACACGGTGAGCTTTGTAAGACAGTTGAGTGCGTTTACATGGACATGGGTATCCAGGTTATGATCCGGTTTTTGAAGTATACCGTGTTTGTGTTGGAACACGTAAACATGATATCCCGGTTTCAGAAACTTAGATAAACCCTTATTCCATTAATGGGAAACCCAAATATGGTAGCTGGAGTATTCCCAAAGACACCGGGATATTGTTGCACCGCATCCCGGTTTGAGAGCTGCACAATACCTGCAAGGGCGCAGCTTTTCATTTACAAAAAGAAACAGAAATACAAACAAAGGCAGCAGTGAAAGCATCTCACTTCTGAAGCAAGGAGGAAGTATTGTCTTTCTGTAATAAAGAGGTTAATATACTTGGTAATTTAGATGGAATAAGGCATCGAAATGCTGACCTAGTCAAGTCTGTAGTGGGCAGCGGCAGGTTAGTGTACAACTGTTTTCCTAAATAAAATGTTAGCATCGCATGCGCTAATAGACTGCATTAACTGAGATACTAGAATATCATGTATGCAGGAGTATAAATAACCCAATTTCTCTGTGCCCATGTAAACACCATATCCTGAATATGATCAAAACCAGGATAAGGCTACTCATGTAAACGTAGCAGGTGTATGGCTTTAAACACATATTGCATAATACAACTATAGAGGTATGTCTTACGTTTTCTATAGAGTGCTGCAGGTACGACGTATTTTTGTAGGCCAACCTGGAAGTTGGGATCGCCCTGGTTCCCTAGACAAAAAGCCAATGGGATTGTTTTTTTCATTGGATTTTGGATAATTGCAGAAAACAAGTATATAATAAGTTTATGGTATTACCACGTTTTGTTCCGCAAGATAATCTTTACAAATGATCACCATTCTTGTGATTTTTGAAGCGTGAATACAATCGCCAAAAGTAGAAAGCTAATGTAAACAAGCTACACCACAATCAAATGACTACACGTCAAAAATGGAAACTCATTTCTGGGTTTTAGGGCTCATTCCTGCAGCACTTTATTGTGCCAGCATAGGTAGTGAATATCATGAGTGTCCCCAAATTTTCATGGACCAAAGCAGGTTAGAAAAGTTGTTCATTCTTGGAACCGCGATGAGCCTTAAACATGCTTTTAATATTAATCGGGCAATAATAACAATGTTCTAAGAGTCTGTTTTGGTGGAACATGTGTTAATATGAATCTAATGGTTGTGTCTCCTCAGACTCCGTGGGAAGGAGGCTTGTTCAAACTGCGCATGTTGTTCAAGGATGACTATCCTTCTTCACCTCCAAAATGTGAGTTATTGTGTCCGACCTTGTGGTCAGTGTAAACTCAACCGTTAATGTGATCTCTACACACACCTTGTAGAAACCTGCATTATGGAGTCAGTAGATGGAAGTACTGGCCAATACTGCACAGAGAAATGCTTCGTCTAGAGTGTAGTCAGGTGCACATGTCTTCCTTCAAGGGTATTGTGCACACCCACGCATAATTCCTGTCCTGAAACTGGCAGGAGTCAGGAGACTGTCAATAGCAATGAGTTGATGAAAACATAATGAAAGTGTTTGAAATGGCTCAGTTGAGGTCAAGACACCCCCCGAACCCACTCGACAGAGAGGCAGCGAGCCTCAATATTGTCCCTTTGAAGTATCCTTGTAATGAGAAAGAGTGGCTATGGGCTTACTTTACTACCGGTTGCTATATTAATCTTAAGGTAAATCTGTCGTTAAGATAGTAACCCATGTTTTAAGATTTCTCACTGAAGCTGAGCATCTGCTTGACATCTTGGTTGTGATTGGTTCAAAGCTGCAGTAGATCACACAGGTCCATCATTTGTGTTTGAAGGCTGGTTAATGACTTAAGTCTGTTGAAGCAGATCTAAAAGCTTTGTCATGGTAATAGTTTCCAGTCATTGCTGTTTGTTAGTTATGATTTGGATGTGAATGCTAAACGGGTTCGATATAGGACTGCTTAAAATGTTACACTTTGCCTAGACTACTATACTGGAACCGAATCCTTACATCACCCTTTTGGTTGCGCACAACGCCCGGGCACTGTGATGTACCGTGTTTCTAACATTCATCAACGGGGGTTGTGTTGTCTGAATGTGACGTTAAGACATTAGGGCCGCTTGCTTGTGTGAGGAGCTGAAGTTTCTGCCACTCCACTCAGTGTATGCTGTGGAAAAGCCGAGAGACATTTGTGGAACTTGTTCATCTTGTCTGACGCTTGTAATGGATCCGGAACATAAGTGCACCTAACATTATCTTGTGTTTTTTTAGGTAAATTTGAGCCTCCGCTCTTTCACCCAAATGTGTATCCATCAGGCACAGTATGCCTATCTATTCTAGAGGAGGACAAGGACTGGAGACCAGCCATCACGATAAAGCAGGTTTGGATTGACAAGCATACCTTTTTAAAAAGTGTTTTTATTTCTTTCTTTGGTTTTATACTGCGTTTCTTATTCAATCTAAGAATCAATTGGCTTTATAAAAAAAAAAAACCAGGGAAGCAAATTATATAATTTATGTGTTTTCCATTATCTTGACATAAAAAAACTGGATCTCGAAAATTAAGTTCTGATATTCAACTTGAAATATAACTTTTATTTTTTGTTTGGACAGCTAATATATCCATTTGTGTTGCCTGTGCTGGAAGATAAGTCATTCAAAGACTTCATGCAACTGATTTTAAAACTTTAGTGACTAACAAATATCATAAGCAACCTTATAAATAATGCAAAACGGATACTTTTTATTTTTTATAATTTGTTTAATTTCTCCTTCAGATCTTATTAGGTATCCAGGAACTCCTAAATGAACCAAATATCCAGGATCCAGCCCAAGCAGAGGCTTACACAATCTACTGGTGAGTGACATTTGATTTAATCTTTTCAACCGTGACACTAAAATGTGTCGATGTAAAGTAGCCTGCATGTCTGAAAACGGCAAAGGAAACTAGAAGTCTATTATTGATCGTCAGCGCCAAAATCAGATTCTAAGTTTGACTTGCACTGTAGTACAATGGACATAATGATGAGAACTAGAATTGGCTTTGATGGTCAAGTAAGTGTGAACAAGTACGAGCAATTTGCCTCTGGTATTTAGTTGCTTTCAAAGTACATGCACAGAAATGGCATACGGCACAACAAACGTAAACATCTAACTACTGTGTACAGATATAAATATACATGTAAAAAAGTGTGTATGTTACACACATGCATACACTCTGTGGACGCCAATGGAGGACTTCTTTATTGTTTTCATAACTCAAATATCAGTATTTTTACTCTGTGCCTAAAAATACATTGAGCTCATGACAAATAAAGTGGTTATGAGTGCAAGTCTGATGAGATGGTGGTTTTGAAACGAAAGCAGCGCTGCAAAACCTTGAGGTGGAAATGGTTCTGTTGGGGGGCCGCTCTTCCCCCAGCCTGTATAAGTTCACACCCAACACTCAGAAATGCACAAAAGCCACATCATCTGTTAAAGGGCGATTCAAATCCAAACATTAACAGTTTATTTAGCTTCACATAAATAAAAAAACCACCACCTATGGAACTTCTGAATCCTGAAGATTATATTGTTTTTAACGTCTCCATACTTTCTGATTTGAATAAGTGATCAGAGCAACATGATAACTGCTGTATTGTTTTAACCCCTTTCCAGCCAAAACAGAGTAGAATATGAAAAAAGAGTTCGAGCACAAGCCAAAAAATTCTCCCCCTCGTAAGGGCGAAGACTTGCTCCGCTGTGGCAGAAGGAATGGGTTTGACAAGAATCACCTCCCCGCTCAGTCTCTCAATGAATGTGCTCCTCTCACATCAGGACTTGCTTAAAGACTTCTATTTAAACTCCACACATTCTGTGCCATCCGACCTATCTTTTTTTTTTTTTTTTTTTTTTTTTTTTTTTGTGTTCTTAATTTGCCAGTTGGTGCATAACGCTGAGAGGGGATGGGTGCTTCAGCACCCTGGTCATTTATTTTTAAACATTAATTGTCTTATGTGGTGGAAGGGACAAAGCTCGGTACCAGTTTCATCAACTCCATGCAAGCTGGCTGTCATCAATGTTCAAGGAAGAAAATGTTTTTTTGTTTTAAAATGCTCTTTCACAGGGTCTTCCTTTTTGTCCCCCCCCCCCTTTTTATTTTTCCATAAATTTAATGTAAAATTAGCTTATTTCATTGTCAGTATTTCAACTGCTGTATAATGAATGGCACTTTTATACTGTTGTATCTCACTAGTGTCTCTAGATGGCTCTGTCTAATTCTCTTTCCCAGGTTTTCTATTCAGCATGCTGTAATATACGATAGAATCTGCTGCCTTGGCTGTCTTTTTGTTATTCAGAGTGTTTGCTATGAAATAAATAAAAATGGCCATGACGACTGAGGCAGGTAGGCTTACTTCTGTATCAGACTTTAAGGTTATTCGGTGCTTTGTTCATGTATGTGTTGGCGTAAATAAAACTTTCTACAAAACTTTAGCATTTTATTTAATAAGTGATTTAAAATATACAGCAAGCTTAACTTAACCACTAAGGCTTCAGAGACTAAAAAATACAAAATGTCAAAATTAATATCTATTAAGAATGTCTGACAAATATTTTGTTTACAGTTCCTTTACTCATTTGACTCAAGCAACGGTTATGCAATTAATATCTACATTACGCATAATGCTGTGGAAGCATTTTACAATCACAAGTGCACATTAATGTAATAGCAAAGTATGTAAAAACAGAAATTAAGAATGCAAGTTTTTAACTTGAAGCGTTTAATTTCACGGTCTAAATGTCTAGTTGAACTTCAGGCCCAACACTATTTGAAGTTCATCTTCAGACTATTTTACTTTCTACTACACGCTAACTCATCAGCTTATGCTTCAGTAATGGCCTCCATTCTGATGAGCCCTGTTGCGCAGGAGCAGGATTTGGTTGATGAGCTCCCAGGGTCCTCGGCTGTGACCGGACCGCTCTGCTGGAAGGCGCTCATGGTGCAGTACCTGGGAAGGTCCTTTTCCAGCCAACACCCAGAGTCTCCTTGAGCAGGGCTCCCCGGCTGTGAGCTGAGGGTCAGACTCTGGTGAGAGCTCCCTGCGGATGAAGGCGGGACCATGGTGATCACAGTGTACGGGATGCCCAGGAGAAGAGTATCGCAGCCTGGGTCAGTTATATTGCTGTACATGCCACCCTCCATCAACTGGTGGTGAAACTGGAGCTGACTCTCTTCTTCCTCCTCCTCGACGACTTGACACTCGGTAAGATTGTCAATCTGGAGCGTTTCCTCAGCCTTCAGCATGTCTGCCGTGTTTTCTTGTGTAACCACCCAGCTCTATAATCACAGTCATGTTTAAGGCCGTTGTGATGAGATAATTGTCGGTATTTTATCTTAAGCTAAACCTACCTTGAAATCACCCTGGAAGTCACTGTACAGTGTGTGGAAATAGGGTGCTGGAGTTGGGATGAAGGCACTCTGCCTCCACCTGTAAGTGTTAGAAACAAAAATAATATATATTTTGTGTGCATTGGTTGTAGGAATTGGCATTTGTTATACCGTACATTTTCTAAGGAGTGAAAAGCTGTAAGGGAACCTTACTTTTTAATTGGAGTGTAGCAGAACAGTAGCACGAATGGCACCAGCACACACAGGGGGATGAGCGTCTTACCCAGTCCAGAAACAAATGTGTTTGATGAGAGTTCTGTATGGACTTGCATGCAGTAGAAACATTTGGAGAAGAAAAAAGTAGAACAAAGTATTGAATTTACAGTTGCTGCATTCTCAACAAGTTGCCATAAGATAAAGATCCTCTTCATTAAGCTTAGATCAGCTGAGACTCACCATTCCCAGCCGACTCCGTCCCCCAGTAAACCTCAGAAGACCAGTCACTCCACTGTCCCTTGTAGTAAGCCTGATTAGGACTGGACCGTACTCTTGCGGCGTACTTGGTGTCTGGCTCAAAGTTCTCATCATCCACAGAATAATTCAAACTGTTGGTGTTGATTTCATGCGATAACAGCTGAAATAAATAGATATGGAAATATGTAATTCATCTTTGTAAAGGAGAGAAACTTCCTGTACCGGTTCCCATTAGTTTGCAGGTAGATCAGTAGATGCATTACAATGTATCTACTTACAGTCTACACAATCTACACTTCTTCAGTTGCTTTAAGTTTAATTTTGACTGTCCAAGGAGATATTATCTGTACTGTCAGTCATTTTAATCATGGCACAAAATTGTGTACTGAAAACAGTTTAATTTAATTTAGCTGCACCAGATTCACAGGATGTTTAACGTTTACAGTGGTAGCTGATGAGCACTTTTAAAAGACAGCACTTAATATCACTCGTAAAGGGGCTGGTGTGATGTACTGATGGGAGTCGGTGGCAGTTAATAATCCTAGAAAACTCTGAATTGTACATTTAGATACGTAAAGTTCAGTCTTAATTTGTCATTCAGCAAAATTGTGTTATTGGTGCTCAGGCAGCTCTGGTTAATATAAGTCATAGGAGAAAATGGATTCATTAATGTACGGCACAATCCCTGTCTGTCAGCACTCCAGCAATCCAGCCCTGCTTACTGGGATACTTGCGAGGAACAGAGCCATCATTATGTTCATAGTTAAACTCATCAAAATGTGAAAACGTACCTAGTATTTACATATGGAAAATACCTATGGGTCAAAAAAAGGTCACAGTTTCTCATGACCCACTGAGCTGACAACCACAGCGACCACTAACAAAGCTGCTGTGGTAGTTTATCAGCATTTGCTGAAAGGTGTGCAGCCCGTTCCCAGGTCAAACGCTGTCTCTTTGTCGTGGCGTACTGAGGCTCAAGGTAGCCTACGTGGATCTCTTTAGGGTCTGATACAAAAACGGTTGTTCTGTGTGCAATGCGTTTTCCCTTTCAGTCTCTCGGCTGTGTGGTTGCTATATCGGAACCTCGGTGTCAGTGGACAGAGAGAGCAGACAGGCCACAGCAGGATGAAGCGGGCCTTCGGCTGCATTCATTTAAAATCAGGCACCTTCCCTCAGGTTTGTGAGCAGGTTGTGTTTTATTTGTGCTTTAGAACGTGACTGCTGTCAAACGATCAGAAAATAACGTTTTATTCTGCTGATTCATGGTTCTCACTAATGCCGGCCCCTCTTTTAATTCACTCTCTAGCTCGCTAGGCCACTGCTGCGCTTGCTCACTTGTTGATCCGGAGAGGAGAGACGCATTTTAAATGCTGTGATAACAAACGGCAACCGACAATGTGACTGTTATACCTTTAAGTGTTTTCATTCATCTTTAGATTACTAATTTGTCCATTTCTCAGTTGTATACTTTTATACACCAATTCCCAAGTTTTCATCGATTATTGATTTGCCAATACATTTTAACGGACACAAACAGACCAGAACTGTTTCCTAAAAAGCATGTTCTCTTATTCCCACCAACAAAAAGAGCACCCAATACTTGTTTGTGTATCATTGAATCTCACGCGTGTGTCTCCTCTTTTGTAGTAATGGAGCTGAAACTTGAGGTTTTCGACAAGACTGGTGTAATCTTCATATTCCTCGTAGGTACTTATCCATGTGAAGTGGTGTTGACCTGCGTTGGGGCTGACTGTGAGTTGGCACGGTGCGTTTGGTGTAACTAAAGAGAGGACACATTAAAGACAAACGCACACAAAAGGCGGGTTTTAAATAGGCAGACATCTGTATTTTTATGCACAAATGTGTTCTGTGTGTCTGGTTTTGAAAACCGACCAGAAGCATTGTGTTCCTTACTGTTATTCATGGGTAGATATTTGTCCACCAGCTGCTCACAGATTTCAGGCCCATCATTCTGGCTGTGACAAAGTGAGATTTCAAAACAATCTAGATCTATAAAGGTCCCAGCATCTTCATCGGGTATTGGATTGGATGTTCTTAAGGAGCAGAAGTAATCCTCATCGGTGTTTGTCAGCGTACACACAAACTTCTTTCTGCACAAAACAGTAATGAAACACAACATCATCATCACATTTAAGGTCATCCATTATTTATAAATGGCAGGGGAAAAAAAGCCTCACTTTTCATATGTTTCTATGAAAGTGAGCCAGTAGGAGCTGTTGCTGTCTGAGTAGTTTTCTGATGTTGCGATGCTCAGGGAGCAGTTGATGGTGTACAGGTAATCATTCACACAGTGAAGATGGTGGTCCACCCCTGAAAAATGTACAAGCAATGTTTTATTGGGAGTTTCAGGAATCAAAGCGGAGATTTCACTGTGTCACCTCATTTAAGTAAAGGATCGTATTTGTAGGCTTTTCTATTTATCATGTAGGTTTTTTTTTTTTTTTATGCATACCATCCACTTAAATAACCATTACTGATGACTCAATGACGTTTTAAACTGTACGCATTTTGTTTTGATGAGAAAACAAACACCTTTTTTACTTAAAATATTTAAACTGCAGACTTAAAGGATAGTCCCAGTAGCTTTAAGAGGGAAGCTCTTTGTGGCCAGTTTGGACGGGAAAAACAATTACTCAGACCAAGAACGCTTTTAATGTCCATATGGAAATATTGGTATTGTTTTAGGATAGACTTTAAAAAATATGAACTTATCCTTTTAATTGGTTGCTGTAAAATGAACAAAACTGCAACATTTATTATTGACCCACTGCAATATAAAAGTGGATGTATGCTGGTTTATTGTAAAATAAAAAACCTTACATCACAAAATTAATAAAAGATAAAGACTTTTCCCTTTATAAGAAACATTAGCCGACTTTTCCCATTAGGTCTAAGGTCAAATAGATTATTGCTGAGGTCCTACAAAGTATAACAAAGCGTCTGAAGCCCTTATTCTAACTTTTAGTGTGCATGATGTTTTATCGTTTTTAAAACATCTTATATTTACATTCATTCGTTATTCATTTGGCTTTTGTCTCGATCAACGTGCACATGAACGTACAATCCAAGCAATCTGATCTTAATGATTCTCTTATAACATAAAACAAAAGAAAACTGTGTGGGACATAACCTGTGACAGGAGTTCCATGCAGACAGACACTGTTGGTAGATACGAGCAGAAACGCGAACAGCAGCTTCAGCCTCGGTGGAGAGCGACAATCCATCACACCAGACGATCAAGACATCATTTCAGCACTGAGAGGTCTTGATACAGTCATTCTGCCCTGAAGCTCTCGTAGAACGTTTATTAACGAAGGCTGAGAGAGGGAGGTATCAGTGAGTCGGTGCACACTGATAGCTATCACTCGCATGTCTCTGCGGGGAGAGGATGTGCTTTTTAAAGAGAGCAGTTGTAAAAGGAAAGTCTGTGAGTAAGGCTTCAGTTTCACCAAACATGATGTTGAAGCTCACACCACAACCCTCTAATCTATCGCACTGTGCACGTCATTTGGTTCCCAACAAGACATTTGGTGAAACAGTATTCTTTTCATTATCAGACCGATCTTAATTGCTTTAAAAAAAGATTTTAAATACAAAATGCACTGTCTTTAAATGTTTTACTTTCATTCTTTCAGTGTCCTTTCGATCTCTTCACTGATGGTAAACGATTGAATAGGCACAGAGCTGGAAGACATTCATGTGATATCAGCACTGTGGTCAGATACATTTTGATCTATGATGCCACAAACGCATGCGATGGTGAAACTCAACTTGTTACATCACATTTTACTGCACAGACTCCTCGCTCAAGCTCTGCTCACAAGAAATGGAGAACCATGAAATACACCCATTTCTATGGACTTTGGTTGTATACCTGAGTGTGATTGTGCGGATAGAAATCTTATTCTACACAGAAGACAATACATTTTTCATTTGGTTCATATCATACATCAACTAACTTTCTTTATACAACAGTAGTACAACAGTTATATTTGACTGTCCTTTATAAATTGTTGTTGGCAGAGATAAAAACCTTCAGTAGTACAGGGATGTGCATCTAAAATGTTCCATGTGGCACTATTTCTGCATGCACTGAAATGACAAATCTTTAACGCTCTAGGAATACAGTTTATGTCTGTGGATCGTAGGTTTATGTCTGTAAGTAAGCACTTAAATACCTACATGCCAAGTCTAACTTCACGCTGGTGTACTCTAATGATAACTAGAGTGATGACTTTTCAAGTAGAGCTATACCTGAAATTGGAATAAGAATTATTGTGCCACTTACAAGAGTGTTGTGCAATGTGCAGCACAGCAACAGGAGAACAGTTGAATGTTGGTTGTGTGTGTTGTGGTGATTCTATAAAAGATACGACCTGACAGTGTCTTCCTCTGAGGTTCACAGTTTTGTTGATATAGAGTTCATAACTGTCTCTCGGTGTTCAGTCGAACACAGTGCAGGAATTCATTTTCTAGTTGATCGAGAGGACGTCTGCAAGCTTTCACGACAAAACAGGATTTAATTAAATGCCTGTTCATTTGTGGCCCAAGGGGGGCAAGGTATTGTCAGCGTGTCAACTTCATCCCTTGTCGCGCTTGTAGCAAAGGTTAACAATTTATATATATATAACTTGTTTCAGAGAGCATCTGAACATGAAACAAGAAAACATCATGTTACCACACAGACGGTCATGTCAATTTGATAACAGAGGTTTCAGTTTAATTTGGGTTTTTGCTGTCCAAAATATCCGCAGACGTCTGATCACTTCACCACAGAGCATAAAGGAGGCCTATTTCCATTTGTTGACACCTAAATGACTTTCTGCCCCCCTCGTGTGAAGCAGAGTGAACTCGTGTTGAGAATGTGCTTGAGATCAGCAATAAAGCCCTTGTGACATGTGAATATTATATAAGTCTTTATATTGTGCAAGAGCAGAAACCCTGATATGGTTGGATATATCTGCAACCTGTTGCAGTCCCGCAGCATCTGATATCAGGGCTTTTTTCAAAAAAATTTTGTATTTTGATAAGAATGCTTCCTTCTTTCTGATAAATATTTTAAAATGACAGCAAACAGTCCTAGATGTAACTTTGGCTTGAAATAACACGTAATCTGATGTAGATCTGAGTGAATGATTGACTTTCTATTTAAAATATGTTTAAAAAAAAAAAATCATAGACTTACAAACATTGTATTATTATCATTTAATTTCATTTAATTATCATTTCCCTGGTAGTCTTTACACAGTTGTCCTCAATATCTTAATTGCAGGAGTCCTTTACCTATCTGGCAAATATAAAAAGAAAGACCGTTAAATTAACTTAAATTACTTTTTCCACTGCGATATAAAATCTGCTGTAAAATAATACTGGACCTATGAAACAAGTCCCCTCTGAAGTCTAAGTCTCTGGCATGTATCTTCCATATTTAGTGTATACAAAGTGTTACAATGCACCAGGATACAAAATATGAAAAATTACCCTGTGCAAAATCATGGGTATAGTATAGTGTCTATTTAGATCAGGGATCTAGTTAAGCACCCGAGGCACACCAGCATGGCTCACTCACAAGCCAGTTTACCATCAAATGAGGACAGGGTGATGGCAAAGGCTTGCAGGGCACACATGGGGAAACTGTAATCCATGGAGAAGACATCCTCCGCTACACGCCCAAACTGCATCACTATGTAGTCCTCTGGAGAAGACGGCAGCAGGAGGGGGCAGAAAGAGAGGAGACAGACGACTGTGAAGTTAGGAATAAAGACAAGGCAGCCATTTTCTTCGTGGTTGATGATAGAGGAAGAGAGTCACATCGTCTTACCGTTGTCAGGGTGGATGATCTGGAAGTTCTTGACGGAGGCCTGGGTGACCCGACCGTGGAAGTTCAGCACATATGACTGAGTCTGGTCGTTCCAGCTCGGGGATTTGTTCACCAGTGTGACCAGTTTGTCTGTGTTGCTGTTCGCATGGCGGACCAATAGAGTATCAGGTTCCTATAATAAGATAAACATTTCAGTTCCTCCGACACATTTCACACTTAATCAGCATCCTCACAAAGAATTTTTTTTTTTTTTCTTTCTAAACTTACATTTGTGGGACGAATGGACACTCTCTCATCGTTCTCCAACATGCCAGGGATGATCACTGTCATTTTCCTAGGACCCTTAAATCCCAGCACATTGGTCTCCTGGAACATGATAGCCAATTGTATTACAGGTTGTATCTCTTCATATGCTTTGTCAGATGTTGGTGTATAGAGTTAAGTTTGAACTCACGTAACAAATTGCTGCCAGCTCTTGCCGCACTGATTCACACTCTTTGATGAAGGGCTTCTTCTCAGGGTTTTCACCTCCATCATAGACTGTGAACTTGGTACCCAGGACATTGGACCTGAAACAAATAGGTCTGATCTGATACATGATCTGTCGTCATCTATAAGGTTAGAGATCAAAATGTCAACCTTGCCTGAATTAAGAAAGATAATCATGGGGTGCATTCAATTCCATGTAAAATGATTGCCTCCACAAATCATGGAGGAATTCCCAAAACATTTCCAATTTACACTTGGGATGCAATTGAGGTAGAAATTCATCAAGAGACCTTTTTCGTGGCAGATATGACACGAAAACATAGCAGGAAAACCCCAGGTAGAAATAAAAGAGTTGTACCTTAGCTTTCCTATGTAACAGTTTGTCTCTCTGGACAGATTTGTCGGGTCAGTGGAGATGAGATAGTTGGATGTTTTGCACTTCTTCCGTTTTCTGCCTGCCATTAGGAACACCTTGGTGATGGCAGAATGAAAAACACATTTTTAGACGGTGAAAAGAACTTTGATAGAAATACGATAGCTCAAGAAAACAGGATCATGCCATTAGAGCTTTAGTCAATGTGCACAACGATTGGGTTCAAATTGTGCAGAAGTGCCAACCCTCTTGCCGTCCTCCTTCTCCATGTGGAGGTAGTAAGTCGGGTAAATGCCCTTCTCCATGCCTCTCCTGTCCCTGGTGACCCTACACTGGATCGTCGCATCTCGGGGGGCTGGACGCAAAGCAAACTTCTCAAGATCCTCCACTGACATTGGAGATGTTGACTGGAATGAGAGTGGAAATGATTTCAAAAGTTGTTTTTATATATGCTGCGTGACGAATCTAAATGAGGTGCATACTTGCCGAATTTGCATTTGACAATAAACAAAACAGTTTTTTTACTTGTAAATGTCTCACTCTTTCATTAGATTCACTGTCTGAAGATGAACTCTCTCTGTAGTTGGAGTTGAGGGAAGCGAGACTCGGCATACTTTTCTCTGCTTTCTTTGTCTTCTTTTCCTTTTTCACCTTTTCCTGGCTTTCTTCATCTTTGCCCTCTTCACTTATTTGGCACCTGGCTGTATGATAGCACACACAAATGTATTCCTTACAACAGCTTTACGCTATTGTTGATCGTAAAATGCACAGGACCAGATAGGTCTAACACATGACTCACATGTGTTGAGTTGTTTTTTCTTCTTAGGCGATTGAAGGACAGGCCTCTGGGTCCCCTCTTCATTGTCGCTTTCTTCATGTTTATTCTTCTTTGGACTTGCCATCTCCCCCGCTGACTCTATCCCCTGGGATGAAACCTCCTGTAAGTGATTCTCTGCAAAAGAGGAGACAGACGCTATAAAAGCTGTTGTGTTTAGTATTATGTATTTATGATATTAAATAAAGCTTCATGTTTAAAACGTTAAGTAAGGTCCATAGTTACGTTAATAATAAATTGAACATTGATGTTACTTTTCCGCTCTTGTTTGGTTGTCTTGTTTGTCTTCTGTGGGTCTTCAGATTCTTTGACTTTGTCTTTCTTCTTTGTTTTTTTCTCCTTCTCTTTGTCCTCTTCATCGTTCTGTTCAATCTCTGACGGAAAGCACAATAGCGCGTTGCTGATAAATCATTTATTTATCATTTAATCAAAGTATTCCTTAGCTTTACATGTGCATGCGTGAATACACAGAACATGCATAAACCCATGCGGTCACAGACCACGAAGGGCCCGACGTATGTGTGCTCTCTGACTGCACTATTTGAATCCTTGAAATTGAGTAAGTAAATGAACAAACACATAGAGAATAAAATATTCTACTTTCTATATTCTTACCTTTTTCTTTTTTCACTTCATTCTTCCTTGTCTTTTTTCCCTCAGCCTGAGCATCATTCTCCACCTCCCACTCTACCTCGGGCTCTTTGTCCATCTCCAAGCTCATTTTCTTGGGAGTGACATGATTGTCTGAAGGCATCTCATCAAATGTCATGCTTGTTGTCATGTCACATTCGCCTAATGTGATCTCATCCAGTGGGTTATCATGGGCATGTTCAACTTGATCTCCAGAAAAGAAAAGAAAAACTTGGATTTAATACAATTTAGGAGAATGAATTTGCACCGTACAACGGATTTAATATTCTATTAAAAAAACAAAACAGTGCTAAATATAAATGATTCTAATACCAACCACTCAGGGAAGTGTTGCTGAGGGATTGGTTGATCAACAGAGGTGTTTCATCAGAGCGGGACACTTTGTGCTTTCGACTCTTTTGGCGAGCATCCCGATTGGCTACTACCATTTGGGAATCAGCCCTCTTGTTTTGCTGCTTTTTCATCAAAAGAGTTCGCTGTGGGAGAATTAAGTATTAGGTTTAGAATTCAAACTGTCAACTCAATGTTCAGTGTTCATACGTGGGGTTACAACTACAGAGATAATAGTGATTATTATGTCTGTATATATGGTGACATGCTGTTGGATAGGTATTTAGCTGTACAGGAATGTAGGCATTTCATTACATTTGATGGTGAAAATGTTTTTTTAACCCATTTGATGACAACTAAAGTCAACAGACCATAAGCTAAACATTATTATGAGGTTTATGTTTCACTGAAGTCTAATTTTTTATGTTGACATGCTGGCCATATTATCTGTCAAGATGATTCTCTGTTATAAGTCTGTTATGTAGTACTCTACTGATATAAGCCAGTAGCTCACATACTGTACAGTGCATACAAACAGACTGTGACTTACAGTTGAGCAGTAGCACCACGCAGCAGGTGGTTCTGACACAGGGAGCCATGACCTCAAGACTCAAGAAAGCTTTATTTATTTGCAAAGCTCTGCCTCAGCTTTAACTACTTGTCAGCTAATTAGCCTTAACAGTGAACAAGTGTTTGCTCCGCTGTCCGCGTGGATATCGCTGATAAATATATATTTATCCTATATCTTTTTGATAAAGGAAATGTGATACAAATCTACTCTGTGAGGTTACAAGTATGGAGGCTTATCTCTTTCTCAGTTAGTTGAAGCGAATTGTAGTTTTTTCCCCCAGTTTGAAATAAACCAAAACATATTTGGGCACTTTCATGTGTAAATGACATGAAATACTTAAATGATCCTTGTTTATTTACCTGGTTGTCAAGCTTCTGTTGTCGTATATCGGGGTCCTCCATGTCTGTGTGAAAGAATCACTGCTAATTATAATCAGTAGATAATTAAGGATCGGCTACATAAAAACAACTGATGAAATCCAGCATCAATGTTCAATGCGAGAAATGGTTCAGTCTCCAAAATAAAAAATCAATTAAATATGGACGCGCGCGTTTGTTTGCGGCTCCCTGCTCCATGTGACAGTCTGTCCACCTGCATGGAGCAGAAGGCAAAGTGGATTAAAAGGGGATAATGTTCTTAGACTGCAGCGCTCAGTCAGTATGGACAAGCAGTCTCGGGGGCAAAGCAGGCTTTCCATGCCTGCTTTATGGAGGCGCTATAAGGCCTATGTTACGGTTTTAAACGTGCCCCTGTCACCCAATTTACAACAAGGGAGCAGTCTGCATTACTTACCCAGGCGTCAACAGTAAAACATGGAAGCCGCAGCCTGTAACCCACACATTGCGCTTCAAAGTCTCACCCAAAACGTGCCTCTGTGCGCTGCCGTCACACCACACATCACCTCGAGGGGCTATTAAAGTAATATAAAACGTCCTGGAAGATATAAACCACAACAGACGGGGACTATTAGCGACACTGAGTCAGGCTATCTCGTTGTCATGGATATGGCTGCCATGCAGCAGCGATGAAGCGCCATGATTTAAACAAAATAAAATACAGTTACAAAAAAAAAAATCAGAAAATAAAATTATTCATTTCGTTATTATGAGTTGGTCTATGACAAACAGCCTATACTTGTTTGCAGGATGAATTTTTAACCTATTTATTTTCACTCACATACAACTCAATTAGCTCTTAAACGTTTGTTTAGTCTCATTATGTTTCATATTTATTATTGGTGGTAGTCATATTGGTACAATTAGTATTTGCATATGTATTTGATGTTTTTACGTGTATTTAAACTGTTGCGACGTACTATACTTTACTTGGTATAGTAAGTATTTTATTTTATATTATTATTATTATTATTCCGTACGACGCGCTAAACCGGAAAGAGAGGGGAAAAGGGGGTTTAATGTTGCTAGGATACAACGAGGTAGCCAAACAGGAAGTGATCCAGCTTCATTGAAGCCTGTTTAGTCATGTAAGTTTTCGTTGAATACTTACTTATACGTGGTAAAAAACAAACAAAAAACAAAACGATTACTTCATAGCATCCTTTTTAACTACAAAATATTAATTTTACAAATGTGTAGTGTAGTCTAGATGTTATTCTACAATCAAATCAATCGCACTTCTGTTTTTCAGCGGCCAGCTTCTGCAGTTTAATCAATTATTAATTCGGCAGAAGAAGAAAAAAAATGGATACGAAAACAAAGGTAGGCTCTACAAGTTTAGTTAGCTACATGTTGGGCTCACTTTATTGAGCATTGCTATTCATTGACCTATTGTATTTTGTATTCATATGATTACAATTTAAAGATATTATCATTTACAGTGGATACAGCTATTCTGTTAAGTATTGCCTTATAATACATCGTTTTATTATGTAGGTACCACAGGCCCTGAAAGCTAAAGTGATGCTATGGTGAGAGCTGTGCCTATAATCTGGATTATGTTCATTTTGATTGTTTGATACTGTCTTTACGCCTTGCATCATGTCTAACAGAGAATCCATTTCCTGGGTGTTTTCAGGACCGATGTGAGCTACCATGACATGGAGGAGATATGCAAAATGCAGTCCATTCCTGATCTGGAGAGGTTTCTGTCCTTATATGACCAGAAACACATCTCTCTATTTTAACACAATCACACACACACTGCAATGACATATTTTTCTGTCACCCTTTTTTCTTTTCTGTGGCAGTGCTTTATGCAATGTGTTTGGAGTCCACCTCCCTGAACCAAAAAGAGGAGTTCTGCTGGAGATGTATGTCCAGACTGTGCTTTTTTGCAGAGAGTGCAACTTTAAAAAGGAACAAACCTCGGCTCTCTTGTCCATCATCAAGTCCATCCATGAGGCAAACATAGGTAAGAAAAGCCATATTATTATCACTGTATTTGGATGATGAAATCATAAAACACTGCAGATAATTTAAATGTAACTTTATGTAAGATGTGTTTGGAACTTTTGTCTTGCAGAAACTCCACTCAACAACATAGAAGAGTGTTTCAAATACTGCAAGGATCTACTTCTCTGTCACTCAGTCAGGGTCAGTCTTCCAACTCAGAATTTTATTTTGAAACCCATGGATTCTCATGAAAGCAATGTTTCATTCAGGTGCTTCTGTGTGTTCCCCCACTACAGCGCCCCCCCTTTAGTATCAACCTCTTCAGCTTTGAGGAGGTGGAATGTATATTAAAGTACATCCATAACAGCTACGTGAGACACTACAAACTCTACAAATATATTTTCACCACACAGGTAAGAATTGGAAATCTGTTATTCTGCACAAATTGTTTCAAGCAACTTCTGCTAACAATCATTTTTATTCACTTGAGTCCTGTGAAAATAGATCTGGAGGGAATGAGTTCTATGTATTATTTTTTCACAGCTAAAACTTGATCTATCGCTGACTTACTCTGAGACCCCACACCAGGATGAACCCCCCGTGGAGGATTCATCTGCTCCAGGTAATAATTACAGGGTAACAGCACTTTTAGTAGCACAAAAGTTAAGTTGTATGCTGTGTTACATTGAGAACAGAATATCTTGATATTTTAGAGCACCGTGGACCAGATTTATTAATTCCTTTAAGTACTTTTCTTGCACCAGATGATGAAAATCTGATGGAAAAAGAAACAGAAGCAGCACCGACGACAGACAGCTCTTCTCAAACACAAGAAGCATCCATCGAAGAACCAGAGGGAGCCACACTCGGTAGGATCACAAATCATAAAAAGGACAGTGCAAAAATAACTTTTTGAAGTCTAAAATGCACCCCAACTAACTGCTTCACTTTCTCACTTTCAGGTTTCTCACTTTCAGTGCCTTCAGAACTGAAGGCACTGATTGAGAAAGAGGTCAGAGAGCAGATGGTGCTCGTGTCTGGACAACTAGATCAGCGAATGAAAGACATTGCAGATCAGCACAACAGTGCACTAGATTCACCATTGCCCAACCACAAGGCCAAAAAATAATGGTTGAGATACGCTGTATTCAAATAAGCACTCACACACAGTTTGACAAATCAAGCTCAAACATTAGTTTTATTATCAACAAAACTTTGTTTTTTCACATACAGTACATCATATCTGCATTTCTACAGTTATTTCTTCGAGAGAAACTCTCTGGAAAAGTGCCACTTATCAAACTGAAGAATGAACAGAGTATGGAATGGTGTTGGTTAAATACAGTCACAAGTCATTTTCACAGTTAGTTTAAGTGGGTTTCCTATTGAGGACTGTCTGCATGCATGACAGCTGCAGGTTACTCTCCCAAAAGCACTCCAAATATTCTACATGAATGTTTCACATGTCTTTCAGTACTGATTTGTAACACTGGAACCATCTGTAAATTGTAACATTATGTGTATAGAATCATCTATTAAATAATTAATCACAGTGCTTTAATGTCCACTTCAGCCATGCAGTGTTTAGAAACACATCTCCTCAGTTATAACTGACGATTAACAGGTAATATCATAAATACACATAATGTACTTATATGTGATGTGTTATTTCAAATGATTGTGCAATGTGTCCTTTACTGCAAAACTGATGACCCGACAAGAAGAGTTTCAAACAACCACAAACTTGGATCAAAGGGTGGATAAGATAAGATGTGCATGCTTAACTTGCAGAACCACGGTGCGCATTAATAAGGCACACAAACATCCTGGCCCCTGAATTCCTCTTCTTAAAATTAAACAGTAATTTGACATCACAAACACTGACATGAGAGCACATGCGAATGTTTAAATAAAAATCAGTGTGGTTAGGAATGAGGTTGACCGCTTTATGTTTCAAAGTCCTCCAGGCCCAGCAGCATGATTTTAGCCGTGTTCTGAAAGAGGGCGGCTCGGTTCTGCTGCTCCCCTTTCTTCACCCAGTGCCCGTAGATGCGGAAGGCGCAGCCGTCGATGAGTTTGCGGACACCGCGAATGGAGTAAGGATCTCTGGCCAGCACTTCCCGAGTCAGCGGCCGAGCCCTGCGGTAACGGCTGTACATCCTGATACAGGCCAGCACGCTCAATATCAACACCTGAGGAGGCAGGAAAAGAAAGCAGGTGAGAATGGAGAGGGTATTTTCTCCACGAAGCTTAGGATTTAAAATCAGCTGCCATTACAAAAAAATAAAAAGCCAAGTTAACACTGTGACTCACCCTAAAACTCTTTCTGGGACTAAAGAGTCGCACATCCTCCTTCTGGTACAGTCTGAAGAAGGGATGTGCTAGAGCTTGCTCAGCATTGAGACGGACAGCTGGGTCCACAACCATCAGCCTGGATATCTGAGCAACACAAGCAAAATGAGTGAAAATCAGGACTTTTGTGATAATGTAGATGCTGCTTCATGGTTCAACCTAAACTAGGAGAAATTAAAGGAGAATATAATGAACATTATTATTTAAATTCAAAGTCAGTCAAACGAATATCAGCTTACCAGATCTTTCACAGTGTCAGACCTGTCATCCCACTCTGGTGAGCTGAACTGATAGTGACCCTCCATGATCATCCTCAGCATCAGCATCTGCTTGCGATGCCAGAACGGTGGTGAGCCGGCCAGTAAGGTGAAAAGGATCACGCCACACGCCCAGCTGTCCAACACATTTATCAAAAAAAGGTCAGGACAACACCCAGGATCATGCTTTGTAAACTTATACGGATTTAAATGTTGTTGATAAAAGAAAAGACTTACAGATCGACCTCTTGGCCATAGCCCATGTGCATTTCATCCATCGAACATTTCAGTATTTCAGGGGCCAAGTAACCAGGCGTCCCACAGAGCTCTGATAAGAATAGAATTCAGAATAATAAATTAAATAAAGGCTGAATAGATCATTTTAAACTCTGACTGTATAAATGATTTACATATCTAATCATCAATATTGATTTTCAGGCATCTGTTTCATTTCATAGTACAGTACCTCTAAGCTTGTCTCCAGGTTGTAGCTGAACAGAGAAACCAAAGTCTGACAGTTTTATGTGTCCATAATCATCGAGGAGAATGTTTTCAGGCTTTAAGTCCCGGTGGACGATGTTGAAGGAGTGAAGGTACTGCACGGCCTCCAGCAAAGCTCGCATCATACTCCTGCAGAGCAATGGGTTTTAGAAAATGCATCAATTTTACATTACCACTTTGACATTGTATTTATTTAAATGGTTTAATCTCCTTTCCAGGCAGCAGCATTTATTTAACTTATAGAGATGTGGACTGTGATGTGTGAATGTCAGGTCTCCTTCACAGTGAACATCAAAGTGCCTTGAGCTTTTGTCAAAGTTTGAAAATGTACATGATATTTGGCATATGTGAGGCTAAAACATGCAGAAACACAGTTATAAACCTATATCTATGGAGAGTGACACCGGCCATACAAAGACTCAAAATGCTGCCAGATGAAATGAGCTGATGTCGTGTGTTGATGCTGGAGCTCACCTGGTTTCCTTCTCATTCAAAGTAACTTTTTCTGTGAGATAGTCAAACAGCTCTCCTCGCCTCATGCTGTCAATGAAAACACGAGATTAATACCATCCTACAAAGATGTCATGATTTTTCATTCACATAGTAAGGGGAGGAATTGTAAAGACAAATGTATTTGAGCTTGTTGTTGTAATACTCACAGATCAAACACCAAAAATATGAAGGTTGTGGACTCATAGGAATCAATAAGAGTGACTAAAGGGAATCAACAGAACACAAACAAAGTTGTAACACTTTGTAACCTCCAACAACAGAAAATGAAAGTGTCTTGCTTTTCAAAAGAGCAGAATAACATACTGATTGAGGAGTGTCCCTTCACCATGTTGAGGACTTGGATCTCCTTCAGCGTGGAGGTTTTCACCTCATGCAGCTGCTGAACGGTCATCTTCTCCGCTGTGATCTCAATGATCTTCACTGCCAACTCTTGACCCGTGTGTCTGTGCACACACCTGCGCACCACACTGCTCACACCCCTGAGACGCCATTGATACAGAGCACAGCGTGGGTTTTAAATCATCCCAACAGAGAACTTAGACAACCGAGATCACGTTCTGTGTTATCTTTGCTGGACTCACCTGCCAATCACCTCTTTGGGGTCATACTTCTGGTAAAACTCCTTGGCCCCCACCCAGTCTGGTAATTCATCTCCAACAACGATGTCTTTGGTCATGATGACGGAATATTAATCTATAACAACAACAAATTCACTTTGTAACAGTGCTGCATGATCTGTCTAACAACAGGAACTGCTGAGCTAACTCCTGACAAGGAAGTGTTTTGTTTTGCAGTTTAATTCTAGTTACTCGGGGGATTTACTTGCTACACACCAACACACATCTTTCTCCCTTCTACTGTTACTTAGAAATGTGAGTTAGATCCATCAAGACAGTTAGTTAGCTAACGTTAGCTGTGTCTGTTTTGGCCTTGCTGCAGCAGCGGGTTCACTGACCGGTTCAGGAAGCTACTCACCATGTATGCAATCAAAGGATCAGAGTGAGCGGGATACGGCGAGTATGGAGTCAGTGTTGAAGTGACATCACAAGCTCAAGAATCCGTGAAGCCATAACTGCGTGCAATTCACCGGCGACCGTATCAAACTTAGCTACCGATACTGTTAACAACCGGTGGCTAGCTTACCAACTGAGCAGTGTTTACACCTCGTCACATTCCTCGAAACAGTTCATAGTCTCGTAATACACAGTGTAACAATACTGCCCCCATGAGGCCAGAGTGAATTTTGCAGTCTTAACATTATGTAATAATATTCATTATTTTTAGAGGCATTGCAGATGAGTTCAAGTAGTTAAATGTCAAGAATCTGGTAATCATTGTTTATCTTTTTTTGATTAACTAAAAAATGTTTTTTAAAAAGAAAAAAAAAGTACTCTGCGGAAGTAGATTGTCGCCATTTCCGGTAGGTTCTCCAGACGCACTGAGTTATATTTCCAACCGCTCCTTGTGAAGGTTTGTAGTGGTAATATTTATAAGAAACAATCTAAACTTGTCTTTGCATGTAGAGTTTTTTTTTTACATTATACTTTACGCTTGTAGTGATTTTACAGGAAGAAATGGCGACCACCGGTCATTAAATACGCTGGACAAAGAGCGCCGTCTAGCCAACTAACGCTAGGTCTCAAAGAGTTAACGTTAGCATTAGCATAGCTAGGGTTAGCAGCTAATGTTCGTAGATCTTGACAGAAATGCCAAATGAAAATTAGTCGGAAGCCTTTCCTGCAGCGGCTTATACACTAACAGTCAACGTCAGCGTACAGGAACGCATATGAACACTGGAGGATCATTATTAGGAGACGGTTAAAATCAGTGGCCCTGTGATTGTAATGCAAGGCTAATGCCGTTGCTAGCTGTCATTAAATGAATGAGTTTTCCATTTTCAGACTAATCTAATCAAAATAATTAATTTAGAAAATGTCTTAAAGCTGTACCGACGTAAACATTTCGTGTCATGTTTGGTTTCTTACAGGGGAAGGAAAGATGTCAGGTGCTGGGGGAGGAAAACGTCCCTCAGGAGGGGACAGCCCCCCTGGCCCACCTGAGAAGAAGAGCAAAAAAGAGGAGAAAACCACCACCACTCTCATTGAGCCCATACGCATAGCTGGAGTCTCCTCTACGGTCAGTTATTGATGTTTACTCTCACAGTCCATTTACTGCTACTACCACCAGGATGACTTACACATTGTAGCTCATCACAAGTGTTTTTCCTCCAAACTACATTCAGGACCTCTGACATTCCTCACTTTGTTGTTTGTATTTGTTCCATGCAGGAGGAAATGGACATGAAGGTCCTCCAGTTCAAGAATAAGAAGCTGTGTGAGCGCTTGGAGCAGCGGCAGACGATGGAGGACGAGTTACGAGAGAAAATTGAGAAGCTGGAGAAGAGACAAGCCACTGATGACACCACCCTGCTGATTGTCAACCGCTACTGGTCGCAGGTACCTCTTCACATGATTACATCGTTTTAATCTAACTATACTTTTTAGCCAAAACTTGAATTCAGAAAGATTAAGGGGTAGGGTTTCATTCTTTCAAAGCCACAAGGTATTCAACAGCAATAAATGTGAATGTTACCCAAAGGTTTGAATTACCCTGACTATTTATAATATGTTTTTTATTTTGTTTGTGTGCTTGTAAATTTAGGCAATTAGCAGATTAATGCACTGTGCTCAGTCTGTGGAAGCACAGTAATCAAAAGATCTTACAAATTGCAAGACTCAGCTTTTGGAATAGCACTATCCAAGTTTTGTTGTACAGAAAGTATACTCAAAGCAATGTTTTTTTTTTTTAACCCTTGTGTTTCTGATTTGCAGTTGGACGAGAACGTACACGTTCTACGCAAACGTATTGAGCCAGATGCTCCTGTGACATCTACCCCGCCCGCGCCCCCTTTCCCTGAACCCACACCAACGGAGGAAGATGGTGTCAATCTGGTCTCACCAACTTCTGCTGTGCCTCCACCTCCACTCCCAGAGGGCCAGAATGAGGGGGAGCAGGCAGAGCAGCAGGAAGAGCAGAAGCAGCCGCCACCTCCTACTGGGTCAGAAGAGTTGTTGACACCCACAGAGCCGCCAAAGGACTCAACAACAGGTAAGCAGGGTTTTACCTGACCATGGTGATCTCTGTAAAGTCTCCATCACTGACTGCATTCATGTACTGCTATAATCTGTCCATATAATGTGTTATCTGACCATATTCTATATTAATAGATGGATGAAAGTGTTTACATGGGTATGACTTCACATTTCCAGATCAGTTACTCTCCGGTATTGAACTTAACCCATCTTTCTGTTATGTTGCTACTGTTGTTGACACTCTGAGGCAATGCATAAAATTAATGTTATTACACAGGTGTGTGCAAGAAAGTACTATCAGACATTGTTTAAGATGATTAGATGTGTATTTACTCAAAGTGACAACAGCTGTTGTGAAAATGAAGGAGAGGGCAGGAACGATATCTTCTGAAAGTATCTTTAAAGACGAGAGGAAAATGTTGGAGGTGTGAAGAGAGCAACTGTTAGCTTCCCTTTTATTTTGTGGTAGACTCTTCTTGCCAAAAGCTTGTAGAATTTCAGGCTATTGTAAAGCAATCCTGACCTCTCTATCTCTATAACCTTGTCAGATCCTGCATGCTTTAAAGTATTTGAGAATTAGCAAAATGCTCATTCATAAGTCCACACATAGTTTCCAATTTTCTAGATGAAGGTTGAAGCTTACTACTTTGATTATTTGATCATCTGCTGATTTTAACCAACCTCGTACATAACCACATCTTTCCTTTGTTTTTTTAGATTCATCACTACCCCCTGCTCCGCTAAGTCACAATGCCAAGGGCTTCCTGGCTACATTAGAGCACAGCAGCGAGGAGGAGCTCACCCTGCACTTACAAGACCGCATGCAATTCAGCAAGGAAGCCATTGCCTGCTTGGTCTGTGTCTTTGACAGGCTGCACAGCCGAATTGACAACATGTGCAAGCAAGTCCAACCTACAGGTAACTGTAAATATGCTTGTTACTGACACAATCATATATGATAAGCCATTGATACGAACATAGAAATAGGAAAGAGGATCATCTGCAGCACATTTTATATCCTACGTTAAAACTAATGGACTGCTACTTTTTGTTTCCTATCTCATTATCGAGTTGTTGGTGTAGATACATGTGAGTTTTTTTTGCAACTGGTTAGCTGTACTTTAATTTGGCTAACAATCTTGATGCTCATTGGCAGCATGTGAGGACGATAGTCAGTCTGACATCATCCATGTGAACAACACTCTGCTGGAGGATAACACTCGACTGCGAGACCTGGCCACTCTGCTGCAGGGCCGACACCACAAGATGTCCATGGAGGTACGATGTCCTCAGCCCTGTTAGTGGCTTTCAGCATGTCTGGTGATTTGTTGTGCTTGTGTGTGGTTACGAGAGGTGTGTGTCAGAAATAGTTGGAGTATGAGAATATTGTTAAAAACGTGTTGGTGTGTATGTAACCATTGCGTATAGAGTGTACTTGTCACTGATGACATATTGTCGCGTCTTTGCCTCTCTTGCAGTACAATGAGTTGGTGGACAAGGTGACCAGCTCTGAGACCAAAGTGTCAGAGATGGAAACAACGGTGGAGGACTTGCAGTGGGACATTGAGAAACTACGCAACAGGGAACAAAAGCTCAACAAACATCTGGCAGAAGCCATGGAGCAAGTGCGTTTGTATGCAATTGTCTGTGTGTAACTTCCCTCTTTATTAAGTGCGTGTGGGTGCTTTTTATCTGGCCACTGGGCGTTTCATTCAGTGATAAGGCTCTAAGCATTAATGCATGTCAAGCCAGCTGTTCTTATTGATGCACATCCTGCTTTGAATGCGTGCATCAGCTGTCTTAACGGTTAAGAGTCACCATAGCCAGATTTAACTGTTAATTACCATTCATGATAGCCGTCACTCTTTCAGTTAGCTTAATCTGTTGATGTTGTTAGGTAAGAGTGCTGTAAAGGGTCTGTTATGGTGACAACATACAGCACAAACACTTAAAAGTACTTTTGAACTTGAGTTGACATGCGAGGCAGGGATTTATTTATGCTAACGATAAGCATTGTTATGTGTGTATGTTGGCGATTAGCATTAATGCCATCGATGAGCATATGCAATTCACAGTTCGCTAAGTCCCGCCCCTGAAACTCAGACTGGCCAATTAAGCTTAGCATCGGCCAGCTCTCTCTGACTAGGGTCCAACCATCCGGCTGTGCTCCATAGACTCTTATGCAATCGTTTCAGCTTTTCTTCATATTCAGGCTGGTTTAGTGGATTTCGAGCTAGTCATGGCTAAACGTTGTGCCCGGGTCATGTGTAACCGTGATACGCGTTTGGTTGGTGATGAAAGTTGCCACCATGGTCGTCATCTGCCTCCAGATCAACAAACAGCATAATTCTATTACAAAAGCAGGGTTTCAACCAGTAGGGGACAGTAGCTTTGCATATTTATAACCATTTCTAGAATTAAAATACTCTGCATTAGAATGTTAAGATTTGGACCTGAATCTGTCTGAAACACTACTAAAACCCAAATACATTGTTTTTTAGCAAAACAAAGTGGTTTGAGGGTTTAGTCTCTTTAAAAAGATAAACATTGCTTGAGTCATAGAATGTGTGTAGGTGTGTTTTGTTCTATGATGTTCTTTTTCTGTCTTGTTTGTTCTTATATTATTTTTATCATATGTTCCGTGTCGGCTGTCTGCAGCTCAAGTCTGGATACAGCAGCAGCGGCAGCTCAGGTGGACTTCCTGGAGGCCAGATTACACTGAACATTCAGAAGGTGAGCAACTATAGAAAGGGCCCCCTTGCAATTCTGTTGGTGTGTAATATCTGTATGTAATTATGTAATATCTTAGCACATAACTTGCTTCATATCTCAGATGCCAGTTTGTGCTGGCAAAACGGTGTTCCATACCATCCACATTTCTCCTATCTATAACATGTTGTCTTCGTTGTTTTTTCTAGTTTGAGAGTCTCAATGCAGAGCTGGAGCACAACCAGGAGTTGGCTAATAGCCGCATGGCAGAGTTGGAGAAACTGCAGGTGGAGCTCCAGGAGGCTGTGAGGGAGAGTGAGAAGCTCAAGGTAAAGATATAATCTCTGGTTGTTAGACTAGAAGCATTAGAAACACCTCACCTGTTTGTCAAGATTTCATATTCATCTTGTGATATTGTTGCTGAGATTATAGTGTTGGGCCTGTGTAGTGTGGTAACAGACTTCCAATGCTCACCTTTCTTTGCCATCTCCTGGTTTTTCAGATGGACTTGCGGAATATTCCAGAAGAGGTTGTGAAGGAGACTCTAGAGTACAAATGTCTACAGTCCCAATTCTCGTTACTGTACAATGAGTCCCTTGGGGTGAAAACCCAGCTGGATGAGGCACGGGCCCTCCTGCTCACTGCCAAGAACGCCCACCTCCGACAGATTGAGCACATGGAGGTAAATTTCAGTTGTCAACGTTGATCTCTTAAGAATGCGTTTAGAAAATGTTTGTTTCTTCACTGCATCTTTGTTGTAGCCCAGTGTTGCCATTCCATCTGTTTGTCTTAATTCTTTTGTCCTAGTAACTTTAACCTGGATTTGTGTATTATTACCGCCACTTGGCAACAATGTCAACAAGTCTTACTGTTTTCATCTGTTCAGAGTGATGAGCTGTCCCTTCAGAAGAAACTGCGGACTGAGGTAATCCAGCTGGAGGATACCCTGGCTCAGGTGCGCAAAGAGTACGAGATGCTGCGCATCGAGTTTGAGCAGAACCTGGCAGCCAATGAGCAAGCAGGTACCCTTTGAAACGCACCCTCGCATCTATCAACACGTCTAACAAATGACTTAAAGAGCACACGACGACTGCGCTCGGTGTACGTCTGCCGCTCATCCTTTGTCTCTGCTCTCGCAGGACCAATCAACAGAGAGATGCGTCATTTAATCAGCAGCCTTCAGAACCACAACTTGCAGTTGAAAGGTGACGTGCAGCGCTTTAAAAGGAAGTTACGGGAAACACAGATGGAGATCAATAAGGTAGATGATGTTATTTACGGATTCAAGTGTTTACTGTGTTCATTCGGTGACATCCAGAGGGTTTTCCTAACAAAAACTCATGTCTCTTTATTTATCAGTAAATTAAAGGAATTCTTAAAAATAGTTTTTGCTTTCTCGACAGTTACGTTGTCAAAGTGGCGACACGGGGGTTCCGATTCCAGAGGAGACGACGAGTGAAAGCGTTGACGTGAAGAAAGAGGAGGATGAGGACCAGGAGGAGGAAGAGGAGAGGAGGAAGGAACTGGAGAGACAGCGGGCTCGGGAGAGGGAGAGAGAGAGGGAGACTGAGCGGGAACGAGAGAGGGAGCGGGAGAGAGAGAGGCAGCGCAGCGACGAGCTGAAGAGGAAGGACTCGGACACGCTGAAGATGCTCAGAGTAGAACTCAAGTACATCCCCTTTCTACTCTAATCCATTTATATAAATTATATATTTATGTTTTTGTATTGTTGGCTCTTTTTTTATGTGATCTCTTTGCCTCCTTTAACCCATCAGGAAAGCCCAGGAGTCCCAGAAAGAGATGAAGCTGCTGTTAGACATGTATAAGTCGGCTCCAAAGGAGCAGAGGGACAAAGTGCAGCTCATGGCAGCTGAACGGAAATCTAAAGCGGAGGTTTGTTCTTTGGTGTCTTCCGTCTTTCCGTCATACTTTTTGCACATTTCTTTTTTTTTTTTTTTTTTTTTTGAGTCTCGTAACCCGTATCTCGATAATGATCAGGTGGATGAGTTGAGGATGCGAGTGCGCGAGCTGGAGGAGAGGGAGAGGAAAGAAAGCAAGAAGCTGGCTGATGAAGATGCCCTCAGGAAGATTCGAGTGGCAGAAGAGACCATCGAGCATCTGCAAAAGAAACTCGCTGCCACAAAGCAGGTATGTGTGAATTTCTTTTCTTCTCCTCAAACATATCAGAGCATGTAAGTGGAGTGGCAACACAGGCAGGAGGCTGAGCATGTGGACCACCTTTATGTTGCTGTTTACCTCGTACACTTATGCTGTAAAAGGGGGAAGGACTCTCTAGATCCTTTTTCGAGCAGTGTGCAACCACGTATTAAGAATTGCAGACCAGCATGAAGTGAGACATGAACCATTAGCCCTGTATGGAACATTGATCAGATACGAATATAAACAAGCTAGCTGTGTTAAGAATGAAAGTAGTGCAATGAGTATCACATTTGCCTCAGACGGAAGTTCTCTAATCTAAGATGACAAAAGAGGAACTGAAAGCTGATGCTAGGTCTGATATGCTGGCTGTATCTATTTTTTGTTTTTCATTTGTTTGTTTTAGTCTGAACTATCAGGTATAAATATACAAATGCCGTGGCACTCAATCTGAAAGCATGGCAACAGTGTTGAAAAAGAAGCCACTTTGTTTTGTGCTTAAACAATCATGTGCCAGACTAATTCTCATAACCTTATTAATACAAGAATCAACTCTAATCACAATGTAGTTTTCACAATGTTCATGGTTTGATTATAGACATTTTCTAACAGCATTGTTCTTTTTTTTTTTTTTTTTCTTTTTAAAGAAGCTTTTTATTTATTTAATATGATACACAACACACCCCAGAATTATTATTTTTATCTCTCATTTGGCGCAAATCTGGTGCAAAACCCACTGCTATGTGGCCCTACAAGACAAGAGGAGGGGGGGACTCTGAAATGGTCATGTTGACATTTTAAGAGGAAAAAATGTATAAATGCAATAATTTTGGGAGCGTCAAATCTTTTTTGATGAGGCACCCTGATTAATTCAAAGTATGTTAAAGAACATAAGGTCTGAGCTCACTTACTTGACTCTGCTGTCTTGTAATTGTCGAGATGCTTTCATTAGTGCATCAGAAAACTAAGGGAATAAGAGAGCAGAGTGTAACGACCCCATTAACTGATCCAACGTCGGTTCAGTTAGGTCGTCGCAATTCTAAAACCATAGTTGCGTAGATTTGGGGATACACCCACATGAGATACTGTCACAATAATATTCATTCAACTGTTGACCTTACTGCTACATTGAATATGATCTTTTTACATAATATGGTTCTAATTATTGTCACCCAAGGAGCCGTGAGGATCTTCTCCTTCAGTTCGGGCTCTTTATGCCAGTAAACTTTGGTACAAAGCAAGCAACTGCACTGAGACCATCCAACAATAATGCAGGTCTCTCTTCAGTTAGCACTGAGACTAATTAAATCAAATACAGCAAAAGTGTAAAAGAGCTATGACCGTGTATTAAGCTTTTTAACTGCTGTTCCATCACATTTTATGAGCGCAAAGGAGACGGATGTTGAGATCTGAAAGTCCACTGCTTCTCATGCTTGGGAGGTCAGGCAGAACATAATTAACAGAAGGCACAACACAATCTGGACTAATACTAATTCATTAGGCTCTTTACTTTTGCCTTCTTATCTGGTATAAAGTACAGTCACTAAACTATTTTGGACTCGTATGTGTTTGATTTGTTCGCTTCAGTTTCTGGCTGCCAGCATTTAGCTTTGCAGGGTGACAGATTGGCAGAACTATCCAATAAACAAGCAACTTGTGAGATCATATGGCTTTTGTTTATGGGCCCCAGTTTGCTTGTAAGTTGCCAAAATGCAGAAAAGTCAAATTTTGCAGCACAGAAAACGGACCAGATGCGATTGCACCTCCTGGATGCATAGTCAAAATAGGTTAATGAAGATGTGATGTAATTAATCAAATCAGGTAAGTATGCCATAAAAAAGGCCCCACTGGTTTTTCAACCGGAGTCTGGAGGCAATATCACTTTCTGTCACTGTCTTGTATTGTTTTTGATCCCCGACACCTCTGTCTTTTGAGGAGGAGGAAGCCCTGCTTAGTGAGATGGATGTAACAGGCCAGGCCTTCGAGGACATGCAGGAGCAGAACAGCCGCTTGTTGCAGCAGTTACGCGAGAAGGATGACGCCAACTTCAAGCTGATGAGTGAGCGAATCAAATCCAACCAGATCTACAAGCTGCTGAAAGAGGAGAAGGAGGAGTTGGCAGACCAAGTTCTCACCTTCAAAACCCAGGTAAACATGTAACTTCTTCAGCTGGAAGTGCAACATTGATGGTTCTCGTTGTGTCAGGGCACTTGCGTATTAACTGTTGCTGTCGCTCTGCAGGTGGATGCCCAGCTGTTGGTTGTGCAGAAGCTGGAGGAGAAAGAGGGCATCCTCCAGAACACACTTGCTGCTCTGGAAAAAGAGCTGTCTGTTCGGTCACAAGCACTAGAACTCAACAAGAGGAAGGTGTGAAGAAAAATACCATCAATCATTTTGTCAGCTCTTGCATTTCAGGTTTGCTATTTGACGGATGATTTGATTGGTGCCAGATGTCTGTGCCCCTAAATATAAAAACTGCATTCAGAGGATCTGGATAATAACATTTGACATGTACACATCATCAATCTGGTGTGTTCAGGTTCCCGTGAAAAGTTCTGACATCTGAGAGTTGTTGGGTTCCTTCCACAAAACAATTGTGTTTGAGCTACATTGTTCGCCAATTAAACCCACCTGTCTAGTAATTGCTAACATTGCTCAAGGACCTGTCAAGACACCCAATGGTGCACTGGGGTGCTGTTAATGAGGTCATCCTGTGTGTGTGTGTGTGTGAATTGTTACTTTAACTGAAACCAGTGGTGGCCTGGAAGCCACAATGAGGATGAAAAAACATATGGTATGTTGTGGAAAATGGTCGTCAGAGCTGGAAAATATACACAATCTGTAGTAACTACGATAAAATATGCAAAATCTTAAGTTGGTACATGACTGAATCTTTAAAGTTAGCACAAATGATAGACTCAGAATGTCTTTTATTCAAGCTTATTGTACCACCACCACAGTACAGCTCAGGAATTTCATTAGGTTTTTTTTCTTTATTTTTTTATTGAGTGTGTCCGGTTCCTTTCCTGCTGCAGGCGGTGGAGGCTGCCCAGCTGGCAGAGGACCTGAAGGTGCAGCTGGAGCACACACAGGCCAAGCTTAAGGAGATCCAGGTCTCTGTGGCTGAGAACCGCAGTGCCCGGGAGAGGGAGAGCAGCAACCTGAAACGAGCACAGGTATGTTGTATTTTCAGCACTGGGGATAACGCCCTTAACTCTTTTTTTTTTTTGTTTTGTTTTTTTCCTGAACTCTCACAAATGACTCCTGAAGTTCTGATTGGATCGCACCAGGAGTCTTAGTTAAACAACCCCTCTCCTGATGCCTTCTAGGAAGATCTGTCGAGGCTGAGACGGAAGCTGGAGAAGCAGAAGAAGGTGGAGGTCTACTCCGATGCTGATGAGATCCTGCAGGAGGAGATCAACCAGTACAAGGTCAGGAAAAGAGTGTGCAGAGAAATGAATGGCTTTAATCAATCTATGTTAATGGAGAGGGAGTTATAAAACCACCAACAGCTTTTTGGCACAAACTGCAGTAGTCTAGTGAAAGTAATGTGCTGTAATGCAAATTACTACACCTTTTTTTTTTCCTGTTTTTCATTTGTGGGTACGGTCCAGAAAGTGAGCTCGAAGCTCCACAGAAATATTACGGTCTGAGGATATCAAGAAGCTCACTTGTTACACCCTCAAGTGTTAAACTGTGTTACCATACAATAAATGGATACATGTCATAACAGTGTTGGGAAGTCAGAATTTGGCCCATTTACAATGTGTTTATCTGTCTCCAGGCCAAGCTGCGCTGCCCCTGCTGCAACACACGCGACAAGGAGACGGTGCTCACCAAGTGTTTCCACGTATTCTGCTACGAATGTCTGAAGATGCGTTACGACACCAGACAGAGGAAGTGCCCCAAGTGCAATTGTGCCTTCGGAGCCAACGACTTTCACCGCATCTACATCACCTAATTCACAGAGAGGCAGAGGAGTGAAAAACAGAAAACCGTAGACGGAACCAAAGGAGAGAAACTGATAGAGAAAAGACAAAGGAACTGGAGATTTATTCAAAGAGGCCGACAGTTTGGGGATAGCAGATGAGATGTGGTTCCCCGTTTTTAATCTCTCTTTGGAAAGACTTGTTTTACCGAATCATTGCCATTTGGTGACCAAACAGATAGTGACACATCTGACTGAGAGTGTTGTGCTGTAGTTAATAAACGCATTTGTTTGTGCACACAGTGATAGTCTTACATGTTCGTTTGCTCTGGACTGTTTGTTTTTTTTTGTCCTCCCCGTTCTGGCCATTTAACACATCCTCTCTTTAAACAAGCTGAGCACACTTTTAAGTATTTCTTCTTCTTTTTTTTAATGTATTGAAAAACTTGGATCTGCAGAGGTACACGGTGGACCTCAATGAAGCATTTCTTTGAATACTTTTGTCCTGCTGGTTTTCAGAAATCCCGCAAAAGCAGTGAAGCTGAAATTAGAACTTCGAAATTAAAAGAAACCATGCTTTTATAGCCTGCATGTGTGAAACTAAATATGCTTCTAATATATGAAGTACAACAGCCAGAGTTGTGCAACTTCCTTGGTTAAGCTATAGTATTAACAATGCCAGAGACACGTCAGCGAGCTTGGCTCTCAGTCAGCACATGCAGCACTGTTTGGATCACCTTGGGCAAGGTCCTCCGTGTGTGTTCATCCTGTTGCCATGGTTCCTACTGGAGAGTTTGACACAACATCTGCAGCTTATAGTGCCTCATTACGGATGAAATCACTGCAGTGGAAAGTCAGCTCATATGGGTGTCCTTAGTGGGCTGTGCTGCTCCAGGTCCTCTTAGACCGCTTTCCTAAAGGTTAGCCGTGACAGTAGAGTACAAAAACATCTGTTTAACAACATGCTTCTTACCTAATTGGTCCAATGAAACCCCTTTTCCTCTGTTCGGATGATGTGAACTATTTACTGGGAGGTTGGTTAGCGTCTGTTTGACGTTAGCGCCTGTGGGGAAAGGCAGATCGCACCATGTAACACACACTAAAAGTTCCAGGCTGCAGAGGAAAAAAAGAGTACATCTGTGAGAATACGCTCATCAGGCATTTGGGAGCAGTTGAGTAAGACCCCTTAAAGAATTGGCTATAATGTCGGCAAAAATAATAACTTGATAGTTTTCATTAGCAGTGGTTGTTTACTCATGAATATGCATAACCTGTCATAAATAAATAAGTAGTTTTGACTTTGTGCTAAGTGATCATTTGTATGCCACACAGCACAGATGATGTCGTAAACCGATTAATATGTGAGACAATGCTGTGACAGAGGCCGACCTGATAGCACTCCACTGGCTTTGTTATTGCATATTTGTGCTGCAGCATCAGGCTACACCCAGCCCCAGGCATTAATAACACCATTCTGCGTCAGGGACACTCACTATTCAAATGTCAGTTTCCAAAAACAACCAGTGCGGTTGTTTAGTATCTGCACAGGGCTCTCGAGTTGACAACGATAAAAGCTTATCCTGTGTTAACTTTGAGCAGATTTTCCACAAAGGCTTTAAAAGCTGATAGTTTTTCTAGAGAATGTCATCTGTTTTTGCCTCACTTGCTGTTCCTCTTTTTCTATGCATGGACCCAGGCTCGTGCCAGAGAGTTGTGTTTTTTGGCAGAGAGGGGGGAGAATGACGTCGACAGGCGTGGTAATAACAATGAGAACACTATTAAGTCCAGACTACAACATACTCTGGTAAAAAGAAATGTGGAAAAAACACTGCAGGGTGTGGCCATAAAACATGAAATCTATGTATTTAAACTTTAATACCTGAAGTGGTTTCTTTGAAACTTTGTCTTGAAGCGAAGCAAGTGAGACCACATACTATGATAGAGGAGTTTCCTGTGAGTCGGGGAGTGCGCACAGAGAATCCGAGCAGTACAGTACATAGGAAATGACTCATAGGAGTTGAACTGTTAGCGTGGGTGTGTGCGCTATTAAAACAAGGCTCAGACTCCTCCGGGTGACTCACTCTGATGCTCGCTTTTCCATGCTGAAAACCAGCGCGGATTGTTAATCAGATGAACTTTCGGGAATTGAGTAGCCGACAGCGAGCAGCTTTTCACCCGCAGACACCATGGCTTTAAACGCTCTATGTGCGCTGTGCGGACTTATTATAGCGGCTGTGACCAATTTCTATGGTGTTAGCGCACAGAAAAGTAAGTAAAATAACTTTTTATTCTAACAATTACAACACTTTTTCTTTTACTTAGGGGAACTTGTGTAGTCACTTTTCTTTTTTGTTTACATTTGACTTATGGGCAGTTGTTGGGTATTCTTGTTTACTGTGAACATGGCCTGGAGTCTGCTGGTCTGGTTTCTTTACAATGGAGTCAGATAGTGGGTCTGCTTACAAAGCCGCTTCCTTTACCAGCTGCATTTCTCACCGGTTCCGCATTCCGATCGCCTTATTTCACCCCGTCCATCCGTGTCCCTTGTGAGACGGACAGGCCACATGGGTAGGGCGCTCTGCCTGTGTCCATGTAGCTCAAAGATATATTTTTATTGTCTTACAGAAACTAAAAAGCTTTTGACTTTGTGTCCACAGCAGTTTGGATTTATCCCAGACTGAGATTTCACTGATATCCTAAAATCTTGAATTATTACACTGGGTTAGGACCATTTCCTGAGACACTAGTTACCAAATGCATTTAACTCTCTTAATCAAAACATGCTTGCACAGTCTCTAGATTCTCTGTGTGTAGCCATCTCCACATCTGGACATCAGCTGTTGGTCCACCCACCCCCTTCCAGTTCATGACAAAACACAGCACCCCCACACCCAAAAACACCCTTTGTAAGACAGCCATGTGCAGAAATATGGCAAGGTCTTCTGCTAGGGAACACAAAAATTGACTCCAAACCAGATATTAAGTGCG